TTCTTATTTGATTAGTTTAAATTTGTGGACACCCTGTATAACATGGTAAGTTTATTATCATTGGGATATAAAATATTATATCTTGTTACACTTCACTATAGATTACGCTTACATAACTTAAATACTTCTAAAGTATTTGACACGTGAAAATTAGATTAGATTTTGATTAAATTCGTATTATTTAAAAAATCTAAAGCTAATATAATATCTCTAATAATCTAAAAAAAATAAGATTTAGGTATTATAAACTTTATTAAAACAGACACTTATTTTGTTCAGCGAATCCAAAAGTGCAATAATATACAGGACATTCCATTTAAAAAAACCAAAATTTGATACCTTTAGAGCCTTTAGGACACCCTGTACATTACAAAAATATTTTTAAAATGTGCGCTCGGTAGGCGTCGGACAATTCATAAAATAATACTTTTTAAAAATCAAACGGTTTAGCCGCAAACTTCCGTGCCGTATAGCGTGAATAATCCTGTATAGGGTGCTCCATTTAAAATGGCCAAGTTGATACCTACTTCCGGTATAACAGGAAGTGTGGCGCTCTTGAAAATATTTTAGACCGCGTGCCCCCAACGACTTCGGCACACTGTCCAATTTTCAAATTTCTCCTGATTATAGTTTGCCAGATATCGAGCGCGGCGGTTCCTGGTGGGACACCCTGTATAAGAAAATACTTACTCGAAGCTGCTGTAAGGGTGAATGATGTAGCAAAACTTGCTCGATCCATGGCGTCTTGCTTCCGCATTACTTTGGCTCCTGTTCCGGAAATGTCTTTAAAAAATCATCATTTTAAGGTCTCGTTTCTTCGCTTGTGAATTCCTACCTTTTTGTGATTGCTAGGTTTGGATTAAGGGAAATACACTTCCTTAACCAGCGGATTAGTCTAGCAAATAGTGGAGCGTTTGGAGCAAGTCTCGGTAAACCTGCATGATGTTGCGCTAATGCACATTTGTGTTCGAATAAATAGGACCTTTTTCCGTATTTTACCATTTCATTGACTATCTTAACCGTCAGTCATTGAAGGTTTGTCAACCTGCCAGCGTGTGAAATAAGGCCACTTTCCCATAAACAAAGAAAACACTTTATTAACATACATACTTGAATTACAAATGTATAAATTATTACTGTGTTGGCAGGCGAAAAAATGCCAGACTTCAACTCCTCTGCTTGCTCTAACGAAGCAAGAAGCTAGAAAAGGAGACTGGCTTTAGAATGCAATAAACGTTTCAAACAGCACTGTGGCTTACCTGTAAGGATAACCATGGGTTTTGGACCTGAAAACCGACAGCAGCGCAGAGAAAAACACTGAAATTAATATCAGTCCGAAAATTGCCAAAAATTTGCGCCTTTTCGCGTCGCCCTTGCCTTTGGCAGCCTCAGTCATGAATATTATACCCACAACAACGGCAGCATCTAGTAAAGGCTAAGGAAATCAACCCAGTTAACAACTAAACCGTTGCATCAACAACATTAAAAGGATACTCATCAGCATCACGATGTAAGTTTCTACCACAAACTGCCCTTGTGAGCTTCCATGGATGTAGGCGGTTTGGCCGTTTTGATTCCGATGCATAAACGGCGGCCCTCTAATGTGATTCCACATTTGGCCTGAAGTCATCGCAAAGCAGAACAACAGGGCCCAAACACCCCACATTGTTTTATTGTACAAAAATTCCAGGTTGTTTCTGCGAATATACACAAACCCGCCGATGAATGCGAAGAGGAGCATCAGCGAGAATGTTCCCGAGTAGTTAGGAGGTCGGAAAATGCGAATCTATTCAACATATGTTTATAGGGCACACTGACTGGTTTTAACAGCAAGTTTTGTACCTGAATGTCGGCCCTCTCATTAATCCATCTGGCGATGGCGTCAGCTCCAAATCCAACCCTTTGAATGTCCATCGTGTCGGCAGCCTTTGGTTTGCCTTTAGGAGGGAAATGCACGAACACTGGGGCCGTGTTGATTTTCATCTTCAATAGCAAATAATACGTTTAATAAAATTTGTTGAAGACGATGAAAGTTACTTACCGTTTGGAAAACATCGGAGCCTTCATCGAAATCCACCATAGCGAAGAAGAGTTTGTTGCTAAACCCTGGCGAGTATTTGAATGAGTTTGCAACCACCGAAAACTCATCGCTTGCCTGCCTGCAAATTTACATGGCATTAACTTTAAAGATATGATGATAAGTGGGTTGAGCTTACCTGCAGACCATGCATTGCCTTTGCTGAGCTAAAGCGGTAAACATCACCACAACAGAATAATTCCTCGGGGTGGCTTTTACAAAGTCCCGGAACTTGTTTGCGTTAAATCTCAAGACAGGCTTTTTATTGGATAGATCTGTGAGTTGTTGCACTCTATCGCCCAACGAAGATCCCTGAAGAATTAAATAAATTGATATAAATGCTAATCGGTGGTGAGATTTATATCGGAATTGAACCAGATTTACAAGTACATGATATGAAGAGGGTGTATCAGTAGGTGCAGATGTACTTTTCCCAAAAGTTGCATGTTTTAACGCCTCTGTTCACTGGTTTTCATGCTTCATTTACAGCAAAACAATCAGTAAGTCCTTGGGCGTTATAATGTGAATTTACCGTGAAACCGGTAAGTTTCTTCAGAGTTAAGTGGTAAGATGAGGACTGTTTGATTTGACTAGCTTACCGGTTTCCTTGCCTGGCTGTCCACATAGTAGAATATTAGGGGCAGAATCAGGATCACACTGAGCATATACTTTTTCATCTTGACTCTTTTTAGGAACGTTTAGAAAAGAAAATTGGCCCACAATCTGCTTTCAATACATTTTCAAAGGTTATTGATAATGTCACTGTCAACGTGTCATCAAATTTGACTAAAACAATATTGGCATTTATTTACACTTGCAGCAATGCGATTGGTTGAACTTCTGTTAATTTAATGAGAATATTTGTGCGCCAATGAAGATTCGGGCGAAAACCGTGCACGTCTATGCAATCAGCTGATAAGCCCTTGACAGCTTATTGTAAGTAAGTAAACAAACAACATTTGCAGCAAGGCTTAAGCGACCTTAATAACTGTTGTATTGTCTTACTGATTAATAGCAAAACTATGTGATACGGAAAATGTGTAACGAACAGTGTTTGGATTTTTTTTCACGGTGGAGATTATGGATTCGCCCTCTATTTATTGCAGCTTATGCCTTGGCTGCCCTAGTGTTTGTACCTCTGTTTTTGATAAAATCTCTTGAAAATGGTTTTAACAGGCACGATCTAGAAGTTCTTATTGCTGGTGTTTTTGTGGGGGTCGCAATTCCCATTTCTCTATGGGAGATCATCCAACATGTAATACATTACACCCAGCCCAGCTTGCAAAAGCATATAATCAGGCAAGCTTTCCTTAAACTGAAGTATTCTCTAACTTAGAATGGCTGGTTTGCATTGCAGGATATTATGGATGGTGCCCATCTATGCCCTGAATGCTGTAAGTTTTCAAACTCCATTTAATTGGAAGGTGAATTTGAAGGAATTGCTTCTAGTGGTTGGGATTGACTTATCCAGAGGCTTCAGTTTATGTGGATAGTGCCCGAGAATGCTACGAGGCTTATGTGATATATAATTTTATGAAATACCTTCTCAACTATTTAAATATGGAAATGGACCTAGAGGCTAGTCTGGAGTGCAAGCCTCAAGTGAAGCACATTTTTCCGATGTGCTGTTTACCCAATTGGGAAATGGGAAGGTGACGATTGAATGGCTAAATAATTTACTTAAGCCCTGCTTATTCATTGGTTGGTTGCAGGCCGTTTGTACACATTTGCAAGCATGGAATCCTTCAGTATACTGTAATGAGGCCCCTGACTACTGCCATCTCATTGTGAGTGGCTGTTCAATAAAAACATTGCATATTTGAAGCTTTTTCCCCTTGTAGCATTTGCAAGATATGCAATGTTTACGGAGATGGCCAGTTCAAGTTTAATGTTGCATTTCCTTATCTGGTTCTAATCAATAACATATCGCAATCGTCAGCAATGTATTGCCTGATCATGTTCTATAAAGCCAGCAAAGCCGAGCTGCAACCCATGAAGCCTTTGCCCAAGTTTTTGTGCATTAAGGCTGTGGTTTTCTTCTCGTTTTTGTGAGTTTACATCAGTGTTTCCCTGTGCATACAACTAATAAGCATTGGGTTGCAGCCAAGGAGTGCTCATAGCGTTTTTCGTCTATACTGGAGCGATCAGTTCTTCAGAACCAGACATAGATGGTGTGTCTTTATCTACACGCCTACAGGTACCTGATGCGTCTTCCCCCTCGTAAAAAAGGCAATTTGTGTTTCTTTCAGGATTTCTTAGTCTGCATAGAAATGTGCCTTGCAGCGATTGCACATCACTATAGTTTTTCATATTTACCCTACGTTAGTCCTGAAACAAGGCCGCAAACGTGCTGCAGTGCCTTTTTGGCCATGTGGGATATCTCAGATGTTGGCAGAGATGTGCAAGAACATCTGGGAATAGTCAGTAAGTCGATATTTCTCAGTTCTAAACATATTCAGTTTAATTCTTAAAAAAATAGTGAAATAAAACTGATTTTTTAGCTTCGTCTATAAGTAGACGGATCAGAGGCCGTAGCATGTACTCAATTCCGCGTGGGAATGACGAGTATCAGCATTTGGTGTCTCCTCGAGCCGGCCAAAGTGTACCGGCAGATTTTTATCAGAATTTTGATGAAGTTGTAGTAAACTATGGCACAGTTAATACACATCCTGTGCAAACTCACAGCGCTGAAACGCGAACGAAACGTGTTTAATATGGACTGACTAAACCCCTATGTTTCGGAGTTACTAAGTAGTTCCACTTAATTTTTATATTTACTTTATTATACCAAGAGTTTATGAAGGCGTTGGAGTATTGATTGAGTAGGAAACACAGGGGGTTGCAAAGGTTTGTTGATGTGTTCCAGTCGAAGTACTCTTTTTCCCCCAGTTTTTTATTTTTGCATGAATTTGTATTGTATATAAATTAATAAATTGATTAACAGCAATAATAGATAGATTCCATGAATTGGGTGGGAGCTGCTAGACCTATGTGAAAAAAAGGATGGAAAAAGGTAACAAAATAGTTACACAGTACTCAATATAGACATCAAACTTTAACACAGATTTAATTCTATAACAAAAGTTGCAAAAAACAGATTGAGGTTTATATTCGTATTTATTCATGCAGTGTTTGCCAGAGTTTTGTAACATTTACGTATCCTGATTAAGATTCAACAGAGTTGAATAACATTTTTCAACCTAAATAAAAAGGACGCACTTGTACAATCAGTTGCTTTAGAATGCCAGAAAAGAAATAAAGGGTTTACAATACTGTAATAAAAATTGGAAACATTGCATCAACAAAACATTTGCTTTGCCGGTATATACAAGACTAATTTTATAGGAAAAACAAGAGTATAAAGTGAGATACACGTTTCTCAACTATCGAGTCCACAATTTCATCATCATCATTCGCTTCGTAATGTTACAACTCAGTAAAGCTGTTTCCTAAAATAAAGTCAACTAAAAAGAACACTTCCAACATACTATACAATTTAATGACTATCTACAACATATTCCATTGAGTGGTGACTATGTGATTGCTAGTCTCGATTTGCCTGGCAATTTCCTCGTGTATACTGTGATTGAGCCATAGCATGTGGAGTTTTTCGTATCGTTCCAGGTTCAGTTTCAAAGGATTTCCTCTGCGCAATCCTTGATCGGTTTCGCCATGCTCATCCAGGTAGGGAGGCGACATAAAGCAGCCCCTGTGCGGAGTGGCTAGAAGCAGCAGCTCACAATCTCGTATTCTCAAAAATATGCCTACTCCAGCCCCACAGGCGGCTGCATGTCGGTTGCAAGCCCCGACAGGTATTTTGTTGTACTCAGTTTGACAACAGTAACTTTGCGAGCATAAAATCGTGCCGCATACGAGGCACATTGTAGGATTCCGGCATTCTTCGTCACTGTTTGGACAGACAAATGATGAGACGGCGTTCAGCAGCTCAATATAGTCATAAGGCAAATCAATTAGTTTCAAAGTTTCGGGCTGTCTTAGTAGTGGTCTGGATTTTCTGTCTTCCTGAAACTGCATTACATGCGGATGAACTGTCCACTTCTGAACTAGTTGATGGATTATTTCATTGTCGAATAATTCGTGCGGATTGCTTGGCAGGTTCAAGTATATGCACATGTTTTCGAAAGTATCACCGTCTAATTCCTGCATATTATTGGGGGCAGGTACTTCAGTTAGGTAGTGGTAAAACAACACGGAACTTCTCAAGAAAGGCTTGGATAGTTCTTTGATGGTTTCCCATGCTTTGACTGAGCAAATCTTTCCGTCTGGCGTCCATTTGCCTACTGCCACTAAAAGATTAACGAGAACTTCGTCACTGGTTGCAGATTCGCCGTTATCTCCCGTTAGCACATCGGAATCAACGGTAAGGAGAGTTTTCACTATATTCACAATAAACATCAATCTCAAGATGTGCCATTCCAAAATTCCTCCCATCGGGATGGGCATTTGCTCATTCCGAATGAGCAAACTAGGCATTGATAGTGTTAACGCAATCAAGAATCCGAAGGGATCAAAGTCTAGAATGGATGCTTCATCTGCCGGATGTTCAAAGATCACGCTGATCAGGTTCAATGTGTGGCTTTTGATCACTTGGCTTCTCGACCAAGTGCTGCCCAGTACTGCGACCACTTTCACTAGGTTTTCCAATGAATCGCGCTGTCTGCTGGTTAAGTACCCCAAAAGAGGTTTTCCTTGGTAGCTGGTGACTGTTTCTATGGCCCGCGTTGTATAGGCCAAAGACTTCCAAGCCATTGGAGCCAGCCGCTTGTCAGAGGGATGAGGTGCCACGTTGAGACCTCTGGTGTAAGTAACTTGCGCGAACACCAGAACCATTTCCTGTAGTTGCGGGTTCAGATCAACCCCGCACTCTTTGAACAAATCCGCAAAGCCCCGACTTAGGCAGGGATCAGATTTATCCACAGACGTCGAGTAGAACACTTGATGTGGCTGCAGAATGCAGTTCACTTCGCATTCGTCCATGTTGTCCTGTTCTGTGCTGGTGCCACTTGAGGCGTCTATGCAGGCAGTGCAGTGCAAGTTACTGCATTCGTCCAGAATGCATTTAAATATTCCATGACAAACTTTGCGCCTTTTGGATGTGATGTATTTCAGACAGGAGAGAAATTCTTGAAACGGCACCGGCTTCGCTGTTACATTGGGCTGTAGTTTTGTCAAAGGCGGCACGACTGGCAGCACAGTATTACTCAGACATTCGCATAAAGGGCACAGAAATTCCTGCTTGTCCACATCGAAGCTAGAGGGATGGCGCAGCCGATAAGGTCGCCGATGCTCCTTAACCATTACGTTGTCGAAGAACTTTCGCCAACATTCACTGTGCATCACGTGGCCGCATGTGCTTGTATATGGAGCGGGGCTGAAGCTCTCCGCCAAAAACAGGGGGTTGTTATTTTCAGAGTGCAAGTTGCTAAAATACTCCTTCGGGTACTTGTTCAACACGGTGGCTTGGTGGACAAAGGCCGCCAATACCATTGTAGGACCGCCCGCTGTAATGCGCTCCTCTTCCTGACAAAGAATGCAAGTGTAGGTTTTTTCAGAGCTGATACACGCCGAGCGATTCGGCCCAAGAGCCACCGTTTGGAGCTCAGTCACGTCCATCTCGCAGCTGCTTTCGCTGAGTTTCTCCGGCTGGTATTCCATGTTGATGTTTTCGAACATTTGGGCGTTTTCCTTGAGAAAGTTCTTCTGCTGGACCGCCATTTGGGCCATTATCTTTGCCCGTTTTTCAGCTGCGAGTCGCGCTCGCCTCTGTTTATCGGAATCGTCCTTATTCTCACTGCTTCCCGCCGGTTTCTCCACATCAATTTGAACTGAAATAGAATAATGAGTTTGTCATTAGTGTTTTGCCTTATTTTCTAAATAATTATATTTACCCATTTCCTTTTTAGCCACTTGCTGATATTTCTGCAAAGTCCACTGGAGCAGTCCTCTATGTGCGTCAACTCTAGGGCAAGACTTCAGCAGCTCCTCCATCAGATCGAAGATTCCCGCTTTGCTCGCATTTTCCACAAACTTGAAGAACGGATAATTGCCCGATTCTTCTTCTTGTAGGCCGTAACCGATCTGTATGGATGAGGAAATAAAACCATCAGCATCAGCTCCAATGCAGAATAATTGTATGCCACTTACCAGATGCAGAACTTTGTGCAGCTGATTTTCTGAAAAACTACGAGCTCGCAAATTTTGGCATCGCTCCATGACGGTTTTCATGATGCGAAGCATCACATCACATTGCAGCAGGTTGACCAACAGCGAGAAAGACTCGCAGAGTTTTGGGAGTTGCGGAGGCGGGCAACATTCGATTTCGCCTTTGTCTTTGCGGCGTTTCCTCTGGGTCTCCTCGGCCTTTGACATTTCTTCCCTAGTGTAGTGGTAGAAGAAGACATTGAATTCGTCAAAGTTGCCCGGCAGCAATTCGTAAGTACCTTGAAGAATCAAAGTTGAAAAGCATGCCGTTTTATAGAGTAAGTGTTTACCTTTGGCAGTACTTGTTCGCAGAGGTTCGTTGAACTTAGCGATTTCCTGAACTACTTCATCAAATAATCCTTCCTCATCTTCCAGGTCATCTGAAATGCACTTGACCAGCTCAGAATGCGGAGCTTGCTTAATGCACAGTGCATGCAAAATGTCTTTTTTGATTCTCTCTTTAGTCGTAACGTGGCTCACTCCTGGCATGTGCCTTTCGCCGATGATCGCTATGAGAAGATACAAGAATTCTTCCACTAAGTTGATGACTTGTCGCATGCTGTCCTCCTCAGAAGACTTCAGGGTGTTGATTTCGAATGCTTCCAATGCCCAACTAATCAGATTGAACTTATTCAGTAAGTGGATCAGAAACTCGTTGCTCTCAATCAACGAGGCGCCGATTTGCAGCAGCGTTATGTCACGGTCCAGCATTTCAGTGCGGCATTTCACATTGTGATAGAAATACAGCGTGTTCAAGAGAGCGTATCCGTTTCTTCGCCACATTCCCGTGTGGACCTGTGCAATCATCACCTGCGTCCGCAGAACCGGCTCGATTATCTGCACTGGCGTGGGTTTTGCCAGCTGAAATTCGGGACTATCAAAATGTAGGCCGTATTTCTCCAAATGTAAATGCAAGGCGGCCAACAGCCTTGTAACCGGCAGGTGAATGGATATTGGCTTGGAAGAAACATCGTAGTGCAGACAAGCGGTGCTGTGGTCGGCCAATTCGCGCGCCTTGCCGGCCTCCAGTGGATCGTAACAAGGGTTTTCTTGCAAGCTTCTCAATAGCAAGCGATAGGCTTTCACCAAAACCACTTTATCGGTGGCACACCATGCTATAATGTGCGTTATGGATCTTGCCACTTTGATGTGCAAATTGAAGCCGGATTCCCATTCTGGTTCGTATTCCATGTGCATTCCGACTTGTCTGGTCACGGAATCCATTCCTGCAGGTAAATAGTGTTTTATAAAAAAATTAGGGTAGAAAGTAGTGGAGTTTGTGGAGTTTTCGGCCGAATCATGATAACTTATTTAACACTTTCCAGATGTCTTCCTAGCAAAAGCTAAGTATTAGCGTTAAGGAAAGCACGACCATGTTTTTAAATTAACTTCATCTGTAATTTCAGAAAAGTTTCAAGTGGAAAAATACCCATAGAAGGGCCGAGATCGGAGTTTATGGTTGTCCCAGAGAAGTACAGTGACTATAGAACAATAAGCCTCATGTGGCACTTATTAAAATTATTTTTTTAAATCATACATCGGAGACTATACCAACTCTGCGAAGAACAGATATCGCCAACACAGTTTGGTTTTATGAAGGGACAAAGAGAAACAAGAGATGCCCTTTTGAGTGTACAGGTACTCTTCCAGCGTTCTGCAAGACAGTGAACTTGACGGCAAAGATCTACGCATAATTAAGAACTTATACTGGAATCAACCAGCCAAAACAGAGGAAGTGCAAATCTTAAGAGGAGTACGCCAGGGATGTATATTGTCACGTCATATTCAACATGTACTCAGAGGCAATTTGCCAAGAAGCTCTACAATACACGGAAGCAGGAGTACTACTAAATGGCGAACGAATAAACAATTTCAGATATGCCGATGACACCATCATATTTGCAGACACTGCATAGGGACTGCCGCTTTTATTGGACAAGGTAGTTGCAGTAAGTAAGAAATATGGTCTAGAAGTCAACACCAGTAAAATAAAAGTCATGGCAATTAATAGGGAATTGGAGAAATAAAGTACTAACTGAACAATGGGACCATTCCCAAGAAATGAAAACAAGAATTGAAAAAGCAAGAACCACCTTCAATCAAATGTCCAAATTATTCAAGACTCACAATTTGAATTTAGAACTGAAACTCAGACTGTCTCGATGCCTACGTATTCCCCATCTTGTACTGAATAAAGTCTTGGACCTTAACGGAGGCAACAACAAAGAGGCTGGAGGCGATTGAGTTGTGGACATATCGAAGAATACTCAAAATATCATAGTAAACAAAATATCAAACACCCGAATAATCCAAAAACTGAATAAAGAAAAATAAATAATATACACAGAAAAACGTAGAAAATTGGAATATCTGGGGCACATCATGAAAAACGAAACCAAATACGAACTACTAAAATGCATCTTACAGGGTAAAGTGCAGGGCAAGAGAAGCGTTGGAAGAAGACGAATATCCTGGCTGAAGAACTTGAAAACCTGGTTTGAAACATCCACCACGGGATTATTCAGAGCAGCAACAAATAAACTTATCATTGCTAGAATGATTGCCAACATTAGGTAACGGATGGGCGCTAGAAAGACAATTTCAAGGTAAAAGAAAAAAAACCCATTTAGGTAGTCTGGAAGAAAAGAAAAATATCTGGAACCAATTGCCCCTGAAATATCTTTAGCCCTGCTTTATTTATGTCACACTTGCTCAAAGCTTTGGTTCCTAATTTTGTTTTCTTACTTAAAGTGAGCTTTTTCACTTAAATTATGTTGAGTGTTTAAAACGGCCGAATTTCCTTATAGCCTAAGCTATAGGTTTAAAAAAATGATTTATCGTGACAAAAGTACTAGTAGCAAACCAATTATGCGATTATATAAAAGATAAAGCAGATAAACAGGTATGCGTTTTCAACTCGCATTTCTGGTCCATAGGTTGTCTTTTCACGTTTGAAACTAATGGAGGAATCGGATTGTCCCGACAAGATGATTTGTAGAGAATAAAAAAATCTACAAAATGAGCGGTCAAACGCCCCAAGCGGATAATTAGTCTCTGAGAAATTTAGGAAAAACCGGAAAATTGGGCGCTTTTTCGAAAATCGTTACACCGTCATTTTTTGAGTTGGAGCGCTAAAATTTTAAGCGAAAGTAGGAATTATGATGATCCAGCTCAAGAAATGATGGAGCTACAAAGTTTCGAAAAAACGCCCAATTTTACGGTTTTCCTTAAATCTTCTCAGAAACTAATTATCCGCGTGGGGTGTTCGACCTCTCATCATTTGTAGATATTTTTATTCTCTACAAATCATGTCGTCGGAGCATTCCGATTGCTCCATTACTTTCAAAGTTACAAATAGGAAAAAACAAAAATAGCGTTTTGTGCAATAAATTGTTAATAACCAACATATGGACCAGAAATTCGAGTCGAAAACACATACCTATTCATCTGCTCATTATATTTTATATCATCGCACAATTGCTTTGCTGCTGGTATTTTTGCCACGCAAAAATACACTATACATCTTGGCCTATTATTTATTAAATTCACGGGCTACGAGGAGAGATTTAATGCGATCCAATATCGAATTGCCTTTTGCAAGTCTCGGTTTTTTCTTGCTTTTTTTACAAAACCAATACAAACCTTGCTTATCATTAGTAAATATTTATTACCTTGCATCATCACTAGGAGATTGACCAGGACGCAAAAGCCATGTAAAAAGCATTTTTTCAAATCGTCGTTCCAAGTCTCTGGTACGGAAGTTAACAGGTACTTGAGGTCGAACAGCATGAACAATGTGCGTTTAAATGGGTGATAGGAAGGATTTCGCTCGAATTCGAGCTTGCCATTTTTGTTGCACCTGGGTCGATATTCCGATAGAATCGTGCTGAGTAGAATGTAAAGAACATCATCGTTGGCTATTAGATGATGGGCTAAAGTCGGCACCGTGAACAATTGAACTGATATCGACGAGATCGAATATGAATGCTCGTGATCATCCCTGATGAAGTCCTGCAAATAGAAAAACCAACTGAGTTTAAACATTCGGCCGTGTTGAACGGAAAATTACCTTCATAATTTGAGCATAGTTTTTGGTAAAAACCTTTGCCAGCGCTTTCTTGTTGTCGTACTCCAGAAGCATGCCAGCAATGAGCAAACGATGCCACTGAGTTCTGATGCTTTTCCATAATGACGAATCGTGTATCATGATTTGAGTGAGCAAATCAGATTGTTTCTGATTGTCGCGCGACTTTAGAATGCACTCTGTGAATACCGAACGGAATCCTTTACCATTACCCAAAAACTTCTCCAGCCATATCATTAGCTTCTGAGCGAAGATTTGATGGGCAATGATGTGAGCATGAGTGATTAATACCTTCAGCGGCTTGCTGCCGTGTCGCGAAGTGTATTTTTCGATTTCGTGCTTGAGATCTTCACAAACCTGCAATTAATCAACATATTTACAGAATATCGAATCGAGGGTTTGAAGCACGCACCTGAAATGTCGAACATTTTACAACCGCTCTGCCTTCGCGGTCGATGTTCGTAACAAATTCTGTCGAGTTGCGTTGAGTGCATTTGAGCACTCTGCTCAAAGTGTTGATAACCTGGTCAAATGTATGTGCTTCATCGTTGTATAAAATCGTGCAGTAAACATCCAGGTCAAATATATCGGCTTCCAAGTCGCCGAAGGTATTATCCAGCCGAATGGCGTCGACCTCATTGGTCGTGAGTCGATTAAACGCATACCACATCACATAGTGGAACACTTGCTTAGTTCTTTCAACGACATCGGAAGCCAGGTCACATTGATTATCCTCCTCAGAAGTATTGACCTTTAAAGGCGCAGCATTAGCCCTCATTTGCGAAGTACTTCGCGCTCACTTACTTGATGTGATTCGCAAAAAGGTTCCCTTTTCCAGGCCTCGATATCGCCACAGTCACAGCAGCCTCCACCTGCCGAAGTTCCCATTCGATATTTGTGAAACCTATGACTTGACTGCTTAAAACATTCTACGCAAAGCACACATGTTTTGTCCGTTCCACATTCCCTACAAGAATACGTCGGTTCACCACTTTTGAAGAATCGTCCACAAACCGAGGCGTGTTTCGTCGCGTGGCATATCTGTTCCAAAGCCCCTTGATTTTCCCCATTGCAGATGAACTGTTCCAGAGGATTGAACAGTATCTAAACCATTTGATTGAGGAGTTTAGATAGAGAAACTTATACAGTTTGCCAATAGTACTTGCCTCTTTAGCGAGCATTTCGTTGAACTGCCAGTTGAGGCAGTTATCATTCAACGTGGGGCTGTAAATTTTCGGCACCCAATGAGCCCAGTATTTGCTGATCAGTATCGGCGAAAATGCATTTCTTTCAAACGCCTCAAGCCATTCAGCAACTATTTGCGAAGATGTCGGCGGTTCTGGCGACATTTCCACGTCTGCTGAATCATCCATCTTCTACTTGAATAAATAAAAAACTCTAAAACCTCGAGAAAATCACAATTTTCTTTAGTTAGTTACATTCTACTAAAAGCCAAAGCCACATTTGACGCGTCTATAAAACCATTAAAAACCCATAATAAACTATCGCGCATTGACTGAGAAGCTTTTGTTCTTTAGAATGTAAATCGGAATTGGATTCTAATAAACTGACAATTATTGCAGGAAATCCATTCAACCTGCTTACTAAGCAAATTGTTGTAAAGCGTATTAAGGCCATTATTATTTAATGCGAACGGACAGGTTTATCGTAGTTTAGATGCAATTTAAAGGTGGAAACCCCGATTACAAAGCCACAAAAGTTGAAGCAAAGAAAAAACTTCTTAAATGAAAGTTGACACTGTTTTTTTTTGAAAAACTCCTGCTCAAATTAGTCGGTTAACAGGAGCCATTGGGAGCCGTGCTCCACCAAAGGAATACATATACATATGCCAGCCAAGTTCATTGAGCTTTTACATAAAGAAACTTCTTGAATATGTAGGATTTGAAGCGATAGGTATTGTGCAGCTTGTTAGAGGGCTGTGCCCCTGCTCTTGCGCTGACGAGTTGTTGACCTTCCACTTACCTTGGCGTTAAAAGGTCTGATTACAAAAAAAGTATCATGCAAACGGGAAACGAATCGCAATTCGCACACTGACAGAGATCACCTGTTTTAATCGCAACTTATTTTTCAGTTCGTTCTCAAAGCCAACTGGTAGAGGTGGAATTTTCCCCAAAGGATGCGAGTACATGACACAGCAATGTTGGCTATTATTAGTAAAAAAAATGGACACGCTAATTGGGTACTGTGGCTGGGGGCCTGTATGGATTTTGCAAATATAGAAAGGACAAATACTTTACTTTCTAAAATTCGCAACAATGAGAAATGGAACTGACTTACCAAACTTCACTTCCGCAATATCGTCGTTCTGGGCATTTGCCAACTGATTGACTGGTCAATCGATAGGACACCCACTTGATTTCGACTGAGATGGGCGACTGGAGTTTATTATTAATTTAAGGCAAATTTAAGAAAGAAGGCTGTACTATGAGACAAAAATATTTTCACAAAGACGTAAAAGTGTCAGAGGATGACAACTATTTATAACCTTACTGGACCACTTACTGTCATCCACAGATCACAGAAGTTACTCCGTGATCTGTGCTGTCATCGACACTGACAATCGATGAGAGCAGCTTTATTTCAGCAATTTTACTAACCGTTGGCTTTGCCTTGCGTCATTGAAGCTAAACAGGGACACAAGACAACAAGAATTTAACACAACACAGAAAACACTACAGTTTTTTTTGGACTTGCTACAAAAAACATCCAAATTCCATTCCTTGCCGTAAAATATTAAAGTTTTAAAATTTATCCGCTGCTTAATTTTTACTTATCTTACATATCAGCTCTTTATTCCATATTTCAGTCCTGAAGTAGGCAATGATCTAATTGGGCAAATCTACAACAGTTACATCTACAACAGTTAGTCTATTCGACAAAACACACTTCTTATTTAATTAAATTGAGTTTTCCGCTTGTTTTTGGTTTTAGCTATTTAAGGCCACATTAAAAACCGACCTTGTATGTTAATTTTTGCTAAGTGAACATGTTTAAGCGAAAATAATTGCCTAAAATAGAAAAATTGATGTTTCCCGCTTGTAAATTGCCCTTGACATCGCAATTAAAATTTTGAAGCAATTAATTTTACAAACTGCATAAAACAGCAATTTGTAGCAGGAAAGGTTTAATAAATTTTGCGCCATTTGCCACATCAAATACAATTATTTCCCTAGGTATACAGAAAAAAAAACATTTGGTTTGGTGTTTGATGAAGCACGTTATTTTACGCTAAGTTTGTCTACATACATATTATTAGTTGTTAAATACATACATATTCTTAGAAGCTTGGTTTTTGGGACTTAAAGGGTGAAAGTTGTGGATTTTTATATACAACTTCTACAGTTTTCAAGGTAATTGAGCCCATTTTTCAACCTAAGTTACTTGTGCTGGGTCACACCTTTTCCCCAAAAGCAAAAAATTGGAAAACGTACAGGGTGAACCTTTTTCAGTGGTCAAATCTTGTTTAGCCTTTAGAATTTTTTTTGTATCGTCACTCCCGGCCGGTTTGAAAATATTTCAATTCAGCATTCAATTTAGAAACTTTTTGGTCTTTAGCTATGTTTTTAGCAGCTGTAAGCGTTTTTGAGTAATTTGGAAAAGTCTTGCCACAAACAGTTTCGCTGGATTCTCCAGCATTTTTCATCGGGCAATTAATCGACTATTGAGCTTGATGACTTTCCCATTTAATTTAATACTTTTTGTCGGAATAAATCACTTAGAAATGAAAACCGTGCAAGGGAAAATGGTCAAAATGGGCTTGCTTTGATGGCATTGAGTGTTCCAGGTACTTCAACCACTTATAAGAGAGCTTTTAAATTTTGCAGGATACATCAGCCCATTGCCATTAGCTTCCATTTTCCGCAGAAACCAGAATAGCTTAATGGGATAGTTTTATCGCGATCATAACTTTCCTGAGACAGCAGTGGTTTTTATTATGCGAAAATTGCGAGCAAACATACTTTGAGGAGCAAACTTTCTGGTTTTTCAACAGGGTAAGAAGCCCAAAGGTTCTTTACAAATGAACCTATTGTCAACTTTTTATGTTTTCTAGACATTTCTAGTTATCAGGCGCTCATTTACCTTTACTGCACAAAAAATCTTCAGAATTTCCTCCTCCGACTGAGAATATGAAATATTTCAACATAGCGATTGAGGAGCTACTAGCTTAAAAACAACTGAATTTCTACTGAATTTTTCGTGCCTTTATTATCGAAATTTTCTATATATAAATTCCATTCCTTTTACTTCGAAAATTTTATTCATTTAGCAGTAATTAACGAACGAAAAAATTTAAGTGGCAAACTGAATTCATCGCAGGGTTTTCGGTTTGGCCGATCCGGGCCGGAAGAGCTTTCCATCGGGAAAAAAACTTTTCGAATTTATGTTTTTATGTAACTTTGGACTTTAAACCGATTTCAGGCAGTGTTTGAGTTAATCCTCTCAATATTTATTTCGGACCCCACATTTGCATAAGCAGACAAAACCGTTATTTAGTCCTTCTAATCAGGCGTTATTTAACCATATTTACGCCGATGTGGATAGCCAAAAGGAAAAACAGGTAAAACAGGCGTGAAAAGACTGAAATAAGATTCTGGAAACTTGGGGAATCCAAACAAAAAAAAAATTTAAACGTTTTTTTGGTCCTTTAGAATCTCAAATGAAAGAAAGAAACTGCATGCTAAAGCAGGGAAAAAAGTTTCATTCGGCTCCCATGAAGAAAGCAGTTGCAGCAATTTTTTAAATTTGAAGCATACATTTCTCAATAGATCAACACACCGCTCTATAAAAAATTAATTCCTGCCCCCCTTAAATTAGGCAAAAAAGAAAATGTACATATTAGTGGTCGTAAACAAAGAAAGTTTCACTTGATTCGTATGCGGAAAGCAGTTTCAGCAAATCTTTAACTTTGAAGCATACATTTCCAAATAGATCAATATACCTCTCGATGGAAAAAATCATTGCTTCTATGAGATAGCAGAAAGAGACTTGAAATATTTACAAGAAGTAGATATTGTGGTCGTAAATGGAGAACATTTTGCTTGATTCGGCAGAAAAAGGCAATTTAAAAAAAATTTAACATTTGAGACACAAATTTTCCAATAGATCAAAAATCCGTTCTCTGAAAAAAATCATAGCTTTCATAACAAAACAGACATAAACTTGAAAGATTTACAAGATAAAGTAGATATTAGTGGTCGCAAGCGAAGAAAGTTTCACTTGATTCGGATGAAGAAAGCAGTTTCAGCAAATCTTTAACTTTGAAGCATACATTTCCAAATAGATCAATATACCTCTCGATGGAAAAAATCATTGCTTCTATGAGATAGCAGAAAGAAACTTGAAATATTTACAAGAAGTAGATATTGTGGTCGTAAATGGAGAACATTTTACTTGATTCGGCAGAAAAAGGCAATTTAAAAAAAATTTAAATTTGAGAAATCAATTTTCTAATTGGTCCAAAATCCGCTCTATGAAAAAAATCATAGCTTTCATAACAAAACAGACAGAAAATTGAAAGATTTACAAGAGAAAGCAGATATTAGTGGTCGTAAACGAAGAAAGTTTTACTTGATTCGGAAAAAGAAAGCAGTTTTAGCAAATTTTTAAATTTGAAGCATACATTTCCAAATAGATCAATATACCGCTTGCTAGAAAAAAAATCATTGCTTCTATGAGAAAGCAGCAAGAAACTTGAAATATTTACTAGAAAAAGTAGATCTTGTGGTAGTAAATGGAGAAAATTTTACTTGTTTCGGCAGAAAAAGGCAATTTTAAAAACATTAAAATTTGAGACACAAATATCCATAACAAAACAGGAAAAGTCTTGAAATATTTACAAGAGAAAGGTAGATATTAGTGGTCGTAAAAGAAGAAAGTTTCACTTGATTTGGATGAAGAAAGCAGTTTCAGCAAATTTTCAAATTTGTAACAAGAATTTCCTAATAGATCAAAAATCCGCTCTACGAAAATTTTTTATGGCTTCCGTATTAAAACATGAATAAACTTGAAAGATTTTCCTGGAAGGTAGATAGTAGTGGTCGTAAGTCAAGAAAGTTTTACTTGACTCGGCTGAAGAAAACCATTTCCGCAAATTTTCAAACTTGTGGCAGAAATTACCTAATAAATACATCAATACTGGTGCAGTAGATATTTGAAACCCACATAGAAATTTTGTTTAAACTAAGCACACAACCCAAACCAATTCAAATCAACCAAGACTGGAATTGACTGTTGAAAAGTAGCAAGATTTCACCTGGTTTAAGTTTAGTAAACGCAGAAAAAAGGCAAAACTTTAACTGGAAAGGAGCAGCATTTTTTTGCCAAAAAAGGTCCGATATCTAAACTTAGACTTAACACCTTGAGTTCATTCAACTTAAGGGTTGTTTGGTGAGTTTTTGTGCACTTTAGCACCAAAAAATTGTGAAGAGCAATGAAGTGAAGAAAAAGAGAAAAGTGAAAAAAAGGCTTTAGATCCCTGTTTGGCTTTAGTTCATTAGACTAAAGGGTTCTTCGTAGGGTTTCTGTGCGACTTAGAGTAAAAAAAGTGAAAAGAAAAATTAAAACAAACTAATTTGAACTTGAAACAAACCGAACGAGCCAAAAAGAACCCAATTGAACCTAAACTCGCAAATTTCCAGCCGGTTTGAACGCCCAGCAAAGAGAGTGAAAAGTGGAAAACTTTGACTATTTCCTCCAAAAAAAAAAGAACTAAATTTAATCTGTAGTCAAACTAATTTAGACTTAAGGAGTGTTGAAAAAATTGAAGCACATTTTGCGACAAGCAACCTCAGTCTTCATGCCCTTTGAGCTACCAAATTTCAGACTGATTCATCTTTCTTTTGTTTGGTTTGCATCGAAATAAATAAATGCATATGAAATGCGAAGTTGCGACGGAATTAAAAGTGTGTGGATGCAGAAATGCAGCTGCGCCAGATGTGGGCGCCTAGTGAAGAAAAGTCGAAAATATCCATTGGATGATTAATTCCAGTGCGGAAAATCAATTGTTATAAATCCAGGAAAAGTCTCAGTGGCTTCGACAGGAGGTGAGAAGCAGCAGGTTCTTGCTGCATAGGGTTGGGCGGCGCATCCCCCATCGGCGACGCCGACGCAACAAATAACGGCGCCTCCGTCCCATAAAGCTGCGGACGAAAATCATAGTGCGGCGTACCGAGGTCTGGATGGTTACGGCGTTTGTGCACGTTTTTCCGGGAAAAGTACGCGTTTCGCTAGTTGGGACAGTGAAATTTTCGCGTGTTTGAGAGCCTAACAATGCGCTAATGGACAGTGTGAAGATGCTGCTGGCAAGGCGGAATTTGTATCGGGCGGAGACAGTGTGGCGATTAAAACGGGACTCTTTGGATCCAATATGAATTCAGGAAATGGCTATCGCTCTTGTGTTAGTGCTGACGTTAGCGTTGGCTGTTGCTGATCCAGACTGGAGTGACTGTCGCTCCCCCTGCCACTGCAAGTGGATTTCCGGCAAAAGAACCGCGTTTTGCAAGAAACAAGGCCTAACAGCAGTTCCGGGCTATCTGGACGAGGGCATCCAGGTGCTGGACCTGTCCAATAATTCGCTGCACGCCCTGCCTAAAGCAGTGTTCCAGGCCGTGGGCCTGATCAACCTCCAGCGGATCTACTTGATGCACAATGAGATCGATGAAGTGCATCCGGACGCTTTCAAGGACCTCATCATCCTGGTGGAGATTGACTTGTCCCGCAACAACATTCGGATGCTACACCCTGAGACGTTCTACGGCAACGAGCGGCTAAGATGGCTCTATTTAACCGGCAATCCGTTGCGACAGTTGAATGGCGCTCAATTCCCGATTTTGCCGCATTTGAGGAATCTGGACCTGGAAAGCTGCCAGCTGGAATTTATTCATAGAGATGCATTTGTGCATCTCACCGCTCTGGAAACCCTCAACTTGAAGAGCAATTTATTGCGGAACTTGTCCGATGCCACCTTCATGAGTTTTGCGCATCTAAAAACCCTGCTGCTCGAAGGTAACCCGTGGAGGTGCGACTGCGAGCTGCGCGGCTTCCGCAATTGGTTCCTCTCGAGCAAACTGTACTCTGTGTCGCTGCTTTGCTACCAGCCGAAAGTTCTGGCTGACCAACACTGGGAGGATGTGGACTCTTCGGAGTTTGCCTGCGTTCCGCAGGTTTTCGCGTTTCCGCAACGACAAGTGCAGGCGGAAGCCGGAGGCAATGTGAGCTTGGGGTGCCACGTGCTGGGCGATCCAGAGCCGAAAGTTTCCTGGCTGTTCGAGGGCTACCCAATCAACCACAGCTGGCTCATTATTGAGGCTGAGGAAGGCTTGCTGGAAAAGTGGGTAAACATTACGGTTCTCAATGTCAGTGAGGTGGATGTCGGCATCTACACTTGTGTGGCCAAGAACTTCCTGGACTCGGCGGAAGTGAACGTGAGTTTAGTGCTGCCGGAAGTTGTAACGGCCACCACTCTCAGCAAGACGGATTCTGCGCTTGTCTGGTGGGGACTGGTGGTGATCGGCATCGTCCTATCACTGTCCACTGTGATAACTGTGTCAGCCGTGTGCTGTGCTCGGCAGAGGAACATGCGCAACATGCCAGCCAGTGTGAGTTTCACCGACCAGGAGAAGAAGTTGCTGGATGTAAGTATTGCAACCACCACCGATAGAGGGACTGGTAGTTCGGAGGCCATCGGCCAGGAAATGGACGCAATGGACCCTCCAGTGCATATCACGATCGAGCGCGAACCCCTCCCGGTAGTCGTGTTCCCTCCTCCTCCAGAATTCTCCACCAGCTCCCTGCCAGCGGGCGCCTACGGCAACATTTTCATTTCGGTGTCGGTGAGTCGCGATCCCAACATGGTGGACATCTCCAGGTGTCCGGATCTGCTGGATCTGCCCCATCGGCCCAAGCCGATCTATCATGGCATGGCGACGCTTCCCAGGCGTCCAGCGCCCATTCCACACTACGACAACATGGGTCCAAGAGTCACAGCTGGTGGGAGTTCGACGTTGTCGTTGCCCGATGAAACTGCAGCTGCTGCAGCTGCAGCTGGTCCAACCCTGGTAGAGCTCCAACTTCCCAAGTCTCCCCTTTGCGTCCCCATAGCCCAGGAATTTGTCTCTCTCTAACCTTTTGATATGGTTAATCTTCAATTAGTGCCTTTGCTCACATCAATATTTTAGTTTTCTAAAAATAGGTGTATGATGTTTTCGTGTCTTTGGTTGCTTTGGTGCCTGATGTGGCCGCCCGGATTTGTCAAGGTTTTTCACTCTTTTCCACTTTCTTCTGCAAGTCGACGCTCAGTCGGTTTTATCAAAGAAAACGTCGCTCCTCTTACCACAGCTGAGTCTGGAGGCGTCAGCGCACAGGGTGGCCCAATATTTTACACCAAAATGATCTTATCAGACGGTTTAGCTCAAAGTCGGTTAATTAGGAGCCAATGAATGTGGGATGACAATAATTTAAAATAGTTGTCTGAAGTTCATAAAAGGGGAAACCTCAAAACCACCCATCTGGGATTTTTGGTTGTTTGGTTGTTGACTGACTACAGATTTTCAAGCCGATTTTTCCAAAATTGTCAAAAATTCGCAAACATTCATAGAGCCCAATTTGTTCTATTTTACGGTGTTAAATTCAAGGCTTTCGCTAATTCAGATGTTGAGGAATTATTGACTGAAATCACGCCTGCAGCAATTTCTGCAATAGACAAGAATTGTTGAAGAGAAAAATGATCACAGTTTCACCAATAAAGGACAACTTTTCACAGAAATATAAATTTACGTTCTCTATCTAAAGATAGTAACACCAGATTTCTCAGATGTTTGGTTGTTGTATAGTTAATTATTAAAACCAAGTCTGCTAATCAAAAGTAGTAGTTTTCAAGGCGATATTTAAAAAATCGCCAAAATATGGAATTTAAATGAGAATCACGACATTCATAGAGCGCACTATGTTCTATATTGAGGTACTAAAATCAATTCTTTACAAAAATTCAAATGCTGAAGAATTAATGATTGAAGTCAAGTTTGCAGAATTTCTTTAGCAGACAAAAGTGAAATTCTTCACAGAAATAGCTATTTTTGTGCTCTATCCAACGACATTAAATCCAACCTTCTGAGGTAATTGGTTGTATGCTAATTAATTAATAAAGTAAGGTGGGGGTATGGGATTTAAATGAAAATCACGGCATTCGTAGAGCGCACTTTGTCCTGTTTTGTGGTAATAAAATCAACTCTATTCAAAATTCAGGTGCTGAGGAATTAATTATTGACGTCAAGTCTGCATAATTTTCTGTAGTGGACGAACGTGTCATCAGAAAAATTATAGAAAATTTTTGAAAAATTTATGAATTCAGCGACAAACTTGAACCTTTTTGGCGGAATCAAGATTCTTCTGCGCATTCCAATGACATCAAAATCAATCTTCTCATATATTTGGTGGTTGGCTAATTAATTATTAAAACAAAGCCTGCAAAATGAGCTGATGCACACAAACAACAGGTTTTCAAGTCGTTTTTTTTTAAATTGTCAAAAATTCGCGAAAGGAAGTCCTAAAACTTATTTGAAAATAGTGAAATTTGTTGTTTAACGACAACTTTTACAAAATAAAATTATAATCGAATTTCGAAACTTCAATCTAAGTTTCGATTTCAAATGATTGTCATCCGATATTTACTGGCGTTGGGTTTAATTCGTCGCCTGATTTTCTAGTTTTAGCACTGGTTTTCTCGTGTAATATTGTTCAAAAGTTCTGTTGTTTTTTCTTATTCTTTTATCCACATTTTAATTGTTGCATTTTATCCCATTGAAATAATGATTGTAAAAAAGTACGCTTTTTACCAACTCAAATGATCCTAAATCTTCATTAATTATTAAGAATTGTTCTTAATAATTAATGAAGATTCTTTTAGAAACTTGTTAAAACAAGTCTAACAAACTCAAGCTTGAATAAGCAAAAGTTTCTTTAGTTTCTCTTCGGTTTTTAACTTTCTCATTCTTCAATTTGTTATTTTTACAAATAGAAATCATCTCTCTTTTTTGTCAGTGTTTCTAAACCTTCTATTTTTGTTTGCAATATCAATTTCATTAATTTTTGGACTTATAGTGTCTTGTTCCTGTTGCTGCTTAATGAGCACTGGATATTTGCGGTTCATAGTTACATAGTACATTGTTAGTATAAATTAATCAGTTTTTCGATCAATTATTTTTTCAGATTTTTTGCGAAAACGTGGGAATTATTCTGATCAAAAATTGCAAAACTGTAATTGTAACTAACTTCTAAATTTGAAAAATATGATTAAAAATATGAATTTCAGACGAAACAAACCCTCTCTTCAGTGTTTTCACTGTTTTAAAGAATCAATACAGGTAACAATATGGATTTTCACAAAGAAAAATTTGAAGGAAGGGACAGGAATAATAATTTTTATACAAATAATTCAATTTTGTCAATTCCACAAAAAAACAGTTAGTTATATTCTGTTGTATAGAAATTAGATTTTTACTGAGATACTTTCGCAATCCTAATCTTCGCGTATTCTTCATTTCACTAAAGTTTTTTAGGGTTTTAATAAATAAACAACTCAGAAAAGAATCGACAATGTTCTCGCCAATCTCTTGTATTAAGATCCTGCTTTCACTTACATATTTAGCGCTTAACATAATATTTTTGTCTAAATCATTTCGCAAACATAATTTGTTTTTGGGCCACCCTGTTTAAACACATGAAATTGATGTAAAGAAGCCAATCCCGTCTATGGAAGCTCATAGTGAAACGAGTGGAAATGCTTGACAATCTCACCACATTTAACACTAAATGGCCAATATTTTCCAATGTCATTTTTCAACTCAAATTATAAAAACCTTTAAAATGCAATTTTCAATGTTGGAAAGTAATTTTGCATCATTAACATGCTCTGCTTGACCTGTTTTCTAGTAAAATTATTAAATTATTAGAACAACGAGTCCTAAAGAAATTATGGCCTTTTGGGACAAACATTTAGGAAATTAAATAATTAAAAAACCCCGATAAACAGGTCGAATTAAAGTAAATAAAAAAAAATTACGGGCAAATTTGGTTCCAAATCTTAACTCTACTAACTAACTAAAACTACTAAAATGAAACCTTCCAGTGAACGAAAGGCAAATTCATAAATAATTGATGAGCAAATAACAAGAAATATTTATACAATCTGAAGCCAAACTTTAGGAAGTGATTCTAAGAAGGAAGTTTTATATAAGTTCATGCCTCCTTTTTGATATACCGCAATGGGTTTTTCTCGCAATTGTTGAAGTTTAGTAGCATGCATTTACAGGAAGATTTTGCCCTAAATAATCGGCGCTATTGGATTATGCTCAATTTCTCTGTTTTCTCGGATTAAGCAAATTTTAATTCAACTTTCTTGTTTCTCGAAGTTCTCAAAATACATTAAATAAAAATTGAAATAAAATTACAGCTTTATTATGTAACACCCTGTAAATTGAAATATAACCGTTTTAGAATCTACACTCATGTACAAATTCCATCATAAAATCACCCAGAGAATCTAAACCGCCTACAGTTGTGCTTGGTATTCAAATAACACCCTGTATATGTATGTATTCGTTATACTAATTTTTTATTAATTTGCACGTCACTCTTTGCAAACATCACAAAAAGGACGAAATTATTAATTGCGTAAAAAATCGTTGTTTGTTGCATATGAAAAAATAATCCATTATATTGACAAAATGTTCAACAATTTCAATATTTACTACAAATATACATGGAAATAAGCACGCCTATTTATTGATGAATAATCATTTTTTGACTAAAATCACTTGTATTTGAATATAAACGCGCTTTATTTATTATTTAACAAATACTTGCTGGAATTTATGAAAGTTTGCCCGGTTATTCAGGCTTTAGTTTTCCTATAGTTTATTTATTCATGCCAATATCAATAAAGAGAATCCATCTGAATTTTGCATATAATAAAAGCGTATGTACATTATTATAGAGATAATATAAACGCAACTGAGTTATGGTTCAATCTGTAAATATTTATTGGAAAGTATTGGCCAAAATCTTCTAATTTTCCCATGTGATGTTCGACAAACCTTATTACCCCATACCGGTAGATAAGCATTGTAAAAACCAAAAAAATTATCTGTAAATGTCCTTTAACCTCCTTCTAAGAAGCTGTATATCATCAAAAGATACCATTAAAATGAGAGTAAGACTTTGGATTGCACTATTAACAGTTCTTTTCGTTTTAATATATGTATTGTTAAAATATGTTAGAAATAATAAAAAATAAATCTTTTTAAATTTATTCTTTTATTTTTTTATTCCCACTAGATCGATTTTATTGCACTTTACGACCCGACAAGGCCATAAAACCTCCTTAGATTCCATTCAATAATAAAATAATTTTCGCCGAATCCCATCCAGGCTTCAATTAAATTCGAATGGGACCTTTTTCGACGCACAAATCTTTATGGAACAGTAAACATCCAGCAAAAGATTCGCTTAATTTAATTTGCAATGCGATCGCAAAGAAGAACTGGACTGGTTGTTCCAAGTATTTCCAGATAGATCGAGGGACATAAGCTTCGGTTCCTTCATTAATTACGCAATTATATTGCGAAGTTTTCCAGGTACCCAGAGAGTTTGGCAGTTGTGCGTGGCTTCAATTAATTGAAGTGGAGCTGAAAATATTCTAGTCTGGTGGACGCCACCACTAGGACTAATTGGGAAAAATATTTTTTAGAAAACCCTCTTTTCATTGATTGATGAATTACATTCTATATATTTTTTTTTTATTCTTCGCGCTCTTAATTGCCTGGATAGTTTTTTATCTGGTTACTGGCTTTCTTCCGATGGATTTAGCTTAACAAAAACCCGCACAAGAATTTTAGTTTTGGTGTAAACCTAAGATGCTTGCCAAACTTCCGGAAAAACTCACCAGTTTCCATGAATTCTTTGCTTAGTGTATTTTTGAATTTTTGTTTAATCCATTTAGCTGGACGCCATTGATAGTAATAGAAAAAAAAACATTTTCCTGCAACCCTCGCTTAATAGTCGGGATGTTTCAGCTGAAATGGATTGAATGAACTACACACAATAAAATGTATTTGAAAATGTGTAGCTGGATTCTGGATGGTTAATTGCTCACGAAATTTCCTGCTCGTCCTAGTTGGAAACACTCCATGCTGCAAAGTTCGCACCAGAACAGGAAAATCATGACAAACTAAAATGTTATTTCAAAATTACTCTTCGAGGGAGAGTCGTCTAATTAGAACGCTTGTGTGTCTCAAGGAAGCAAAATTCAAGTTTATTAGCAAACTTTCGACAAAATGATGAAAACTCCTGCTGTTCAGGGACAATTCAAAATTCCGTCCAGCTTCTTTTTAATTATCGTTTAATTAATTTTTCGCGCAAAGGAATCAAATCCATGTTTGTAGCTGCTTCACATCTGGATTAACTAATAAAAAATATCTCAAATTCGTTCCAGATCGAATTGAAACAGGAATTTGCAATGAACTGTTTCCTCCACTTCTTTGGCGGGTTGGTAAACAGTTAACATTTCCCACATATTTAGTTCGATTTCGATGATCACCAAAAGGAGTTACTGATTGGTTATTGCCAACATTCCGGTTCCCTCAATCGAGTTAAATAATTTTGGTTTGCTTCATTGTTCTAATGTACGTCCAGAATTCAGTTGGGTGCGGTTTCAATTAATTGGAGTAGATTTTCGGGGGCTGAAAATGTGCTATTCAAATTATTTGTTGAGAAGCCACTGGCATGGAAGCAATGCCATTAGCATTAATTGTTTTAATTAATTAATGCTTAGGCTCTATGTGCAGAGGTAAGTAACGTGTTTTCTTCTGAAGTGAATGTTCAGTTCTGTTTAATGTGGTTATTTGTGTTTCTTTTGCAAAAGTTGGGACTTAATTTAGTCAAACTTGGCAAGTTCCTGGTCTCTTTTAAGTATAGAAAGTCATCAAAAACAATACAAAATTTCATCCAGACATAAACCAAGCAAGGTGAAGAAACTGGAAACTAGATAATTTCTTAAACAATTGAAATTATTTAAGAAATAATTCCTCAATTTCCTAGCTGGAGAAAACCATTCCCATCTTGGACTGGCCTTTGGAACGGGAATTCATAACAAACTGGAGAATTTATTTCAAGTAATTCTTCAAGGAAGTTGACTGTATATAATTGTAATTGGAACATTTGGCTTTCTGAAGAAGAAACATCTACTTTTAACTTCCTTACAGTTTCGGGGAAAATCCAAAAGTTATTAAGATTTTTTCGAAGCTACATAATTTAGAAACTTGCTAGCTAAGCAGGTTTTAAACTGTTTTGAATTCAGTTACAAATGCAGGTAAAGGCTGTTCATTAAAAGTTACCGCGAAGTTCGAGTAGTTTGTTGATGTTGATATTGTTAAAAGTTTGTAGCAATTTTGAAGCTTAACGAGTTTAAATCAATGCAGAAAAACCGTGATAGTTTAGTAGTTTCTTTGCCAATGTAAATCCTTCAGATGAATCCCACTTTATCCCAAGTTGAAGTGCATTTGTTCACTAAGTAGCACTCGGTTTGATTATTGTATTTATTGCTTCATTTCCTGCTTAATTTCACGTCATTTTGTCACGATTTTCGTGTTCGGGATTCGTAACTCAGGGGACCGAAGGCACGGAAAACTTGATGGACTAAATAAGTTTTTTATTTACGTAAATTTGTCAACAGATAATCTTGGAAAGCTTTGAGGAAATTTTTACAGTATGAGCAAGAAATATTCTGCTTTGGGGAGCAAGTGGTCAAAGCTACCAAATAAATTTCTTGAAAATGAGCGAAATCGCTAGTAAATGTACACAGGAAAATATTGTATAAAGACGAACGTTGGAAGAAAAAGGCCAAGGGATATGAAAAAGAAAGTTTAAAGATAGATTGCGTCCCAGAATTCGAGCTGTTTAATTCATAGATTACAAATGTTGGCAAGCAAATTGAGATAATTTTACCATTAACAGAAAATCCGTAGGAGAACTTTATGAAAAAAATTAAATAGAAACAGGCAGAGGCGCTTGGAAAGTGGTTACCTAAAAAAGCTACCAAACCAGAAGGAAAAGCAGTAGCAACTAGGCATATTGCGAGGTCAATAACTGTGATTTGAAAAACCCCACTTTTTTCATCAATAAGACAGACAATTAAAAAATGTATAAAAAATTGCGAAACTAAAGAAACAACATTAAAATCATCAATAATACCCTACAGTTCTCGTAATCCCCGGAAAATCGAAATAGATCAAGCGCGAAAGCACCACAGAGGAAAGCTATTTAGCAAAAAAATAAGTAGTAGAAGCAATGACACTAAATATTCGAATAATTGATGTTAACAAAATATATTTAAACTTGACTAAAAAAAACGATCTGAAAATGCGATGTTAATTAAATTGATTTAGGATGAGCTTTTAGGGGACTTTTATCAGTTTTTCACAAAGGAATTGCCTTAAAGACCGTAACTACTGTCAGAGAGTGAAATCGATGGAGCAGAGCAGATTGACCCAGTTTTAGGTGTCTTTTCGATACATATTAACGCCCGAAACTAGTCCTTCATTTACATTTAAATGACATTTTGCCTTCTACTTGCCTTCAGCTGTACATTGAGTATTATACAAGAAGACTGATATATAATTAATAGGTAGCTAAAGGGCGCGTTTCTACATGGATGCTGCTTTTTTAATGGACCGTTTGCAATTTTATATCTACAGCAGAAAAGTTCTGTTTAAGTTGATTATTGAAGTGAGAAATATTGAAAATTGATTCAGTATAGTGTTGATTGTTGGGCCTTTTACCGATTTTCCATAAATAAAAAGGCAGCCGCAAAGAAATGTTCCCTTTTGTATCGAAGATTCCGCCAGCCCTCACTGTGTTCGTATAAAGCACACGTCATTTATCTCTCGAACGATTTATTCGGAATTTCCACGTAAGGGCAAATATCTGGGTCAGTAAAAGACGCATTTTCGCAGCTATGGGAAAAGAAAAAGTCATTAATGTCGGAACAAATAAAGGACTTCATAAGTTTGGCGGGATTGAGTTAGAAAAACAGATATACTATTGTGTCCCGAGGTAGCGAACTGAGATTAAATAAAATTGTTTGGCGGATGCTTTTCACGATAAAATATTCTGTGATATTTCGCCGATAACTTAAGCGAAAATAAATTTAAAACAACCGAAAACATTCCTGCACCTCGTTGGCTGAATAGTTTCACCGAATTTTATAAAATTTTTGTGTTATATACGTTCTTGTTATTTGATTAAGCTTTTTCAAACATGGGAATTTCTGATGAAAACTTTTGAGCGGGTAGCTTTAACCGTTTCTGAGATAGAGACTTAAACATAGGCGATTTGAAATTTTTTCACATTTTTGCTTCCAGACTTTCAAAGGTTAGGAAATTGTGATTAACTCCTCTCACTAAAAGATTGTATTTGAGATGCTTGATAGAAAATCTTCTTAGGGCTAAACAGGTATTTTTAACCGTTTTGGAGATACGGGCGTTTAAACTTCGAATAATCAATTTTTCGCATGTTTCATTCCAGTTTTTTCAACTTACAAAATTTCCAAAAATATTTGCCGTGAAAGGCAGTTTTTGAAACACTGAGTCAAAAAGGTCGTTTGGCACGAATAGGAATTTTCAGTCGTTTATGAGGTACGGGCTTGTAAAGTGTGGGGGTTTGTTAAATTTTTACATTTTCACTTGCATCTTTTTAAAGGTTAGGAATTTCTCATCAAAATTGAGTAGTAAAGGAGAGTGTTTGAGATTCAATCAAAATCAGATCTATCAAAAAGGTCATTAGGGTACAATAGGTATTCTCAACCGTTTCTGAGCTACGGGATTTTAAATATGCAAAATTTTTACATTTTTGCTTCCATCTGTTTAACGGTTAGGAATTTCTGATAAAAGCTTAATAGTAGAGCTAAGTTTGTGAGACAGTCTATCAAAAATGTCATTAGCGCTAACCAAGTATTTTCAACTGTTTTCGAGATACTTGGCTTTCAAACTTTTGCAATGATAAAATTTTCCTATTTTAACTTCCAAGTTTTTAAAGATTTAGAATTTCTGAAAAAATCAAAATAATGAAAGAAATATTTTAAAAAGCTCTATTAAATGGTTACTAATGGCTGAACCAGCATTGTCAACCGTTTTAAAAGAAAAGGTTTATGGACTTTGGCGATCCTTTAAAAATTCACATTAAATCAATCAAAAACAATTAAATCAATTAAAAAAAATTGGACGCATA